ATGGAGCAATTTCCATGATACTAATTCTCGTACTTCCTTTAAATCCCCTTCCAAATCCCACCCTTTCTAAACAGCTTTCTGGCATAACCATGGCCCGTGCTCTACTTTAACTATGCCCAAGTATATTATTCCTGTTTATCCATACCACCACACCATATTATCTGATAGTACAGTAAGGTAAAGGTAAAGGTAAAGGTTCCCCTTGACATTTTACTCAGTCGTGTTCGACTCTAGGGGGCGGTGCTCATCCCCGTTTCCAAGCCGTAGAGCCAGCGTTTGTCCGAAGACAGTTTCCGTTGTCACGTGGCCAGTGCGGCTATACACGGAACGCTGTTTATCTTCCCACCGAGGTGGTACCTATTTATCTACTCACATTTACATGCTTTTGAACCGCTAGGTTGGCGAGGAGCTAGGACAAAGCGACAGGAGCTCACTCCACTGCGTGGATTTGATCTTACAACTGCTGGTCTTCTGACCTTGCAGCTTCTGCGGTTTAGCCCGCAGCGCCACCACGTCCTTGGTGGCAATATAGTACTTTATAGTAATATTAGTTATCTATTATTATCTATATATTACATATATTATATTATATTATATTATATTATATTATATTATATTATATTATCTATAGCAATTGTACTTGACTATGACAGCAAAAAAGTATAGTTCCAGCTTCTAAGAAATTACGTTAAGAGTTTCCCCTTGTAATTAGGAGCTAATATAGGCACCAAAAAGAGCAAGGCATCTCTTACTGATTTAGTTGAGAAAAAGTGATTATCTAGAATTTATGATCTAGGAATTTTGTTTCTGATAAGCTAAATAAATGAACAGTATTATCTCAGGTTTATGAAGTGGATTCTCAAAAAAAAAAAAAAAATGACTGTACCTAATTTGTACCTTGCTTTGTACCAAATTGGATTGTCTGATCAAAAGCACTGGGATGGTGAGATTTCAGGCTGACCTTAAATTTTATTTGTAGAAGACCTCATATTATTACAAAGTGCCTGACCTAAAAATAAAGTATACAGACATAGTTACAGTATTATAAAGAGATGACTTCAGTTTATTCAACAGATTTATAACTCCAAAGTGAACTGTGGAATTTTGTTTCCAGTATGGACAGAACCAAGAGACGGAAGGGGAAAGAATATAGTTTCTGGACAACCGAACTGGCCACAGCAATTGCCACAATCTCTGCCAGGGCTCACATCCTACACAGCCTTACCTACACACCCATGGAAGAAAGAGATTTTCCCCCATGTCTACTAGTGCTGCTATGACTTATGGAAGTCTCACAACCAGCCCCAGGAAGATTTTTTTCCCCTTTTGCCAGGACCTCTGTTGCTGTTCCTGCTAGGGCTTGTGCAACAAGAAGTATTACAAAGTACAGCTTGGAATTCAGCCCAATACATGCTTCAGGTTCCCCCCCGCTGTTTTGGCCTGCTGACATTGGACGTGTTCACCACACATACAGAAACATTCACAATGTGCCAGTGAGGGTGCCCAGCTTTTAAAGCCATTACACATACAAAATCAAACATTTCCCTCCTCTGATTTTGCTTGCTCTGAGATATGTCTCCCTGAATGGATAGCTGGAGAAGCACAGCAACTGAGACCTCAGCTTCACGGGTGCCTGGCAAAAGCATCACCATCACATGTTCCAAAGACAAATGCTTTCTTGCTGACTAGAGAAAGATTTTCTTCCTATCATATCCAGTTCTCCGAGTAGGCCAGAGCACAGTTTGGAAAAGATTTAAGACTCCCAAAATACCAGGATTTAGATCTGGCAGGAGTGCATTTGCACACTACTTTTTGGTCAAATGAATGTGTTTCATCCCTCTGGATTCATTTGCAACGGAGAGGTGGCAGGCAGGGATTCTTCTCGGAACATAATTATTCCTTTAATTTACTGTTCTAAATTATGCTTCACGAAGTATGATGTGGAAAGTATCCAAAGGTTTTTACAACCCTCCTCTGATTAGCTTACAAAGTATCCTACTTTTGATTTTTCCCCTGTCTTCATGCCAATCAAATAACTGCCCCTTGTGATTTTTAAAAATATGTTAGGGTTTCTTTGGAAACATAGATGAGAAGTCAGTTGTGTATTTCTGCTGGATCCCACCATTTCCACAAGGATTGACAAGACCCTCCCTTCCTGCATGCCCTTGTACATCCTAAAATCCTAGTTAGGAAGCCTTCTAGAGCAAGGTTTTTGGCAAAATGGAAGGCTGCACAAGGAGGGGAAAGGAAAATATGCCCCTATTCTGTCTTTAATACCAAAGCACACAATTGGCTTTTTACTATAACTGCCCCTAGTGATTTTAAAAAATATGTTAGGGGTTCTTTGGAAACATAGATGAGAAGCCAGTTGTATATTTCTGCTGGATCCCACCATTTCCACAAGGATTGACAAGACCCTCCCTTCCTGCATGCCCTTGTACATCCTAAAATCCTAGTTAGGAAACCTTCTAGAGCAAGGTTTTTGGCAAAATGGAAGGCTGCACAAGGAGGAGAAAGGAAAATCCGCCCCTATTCTGTCTTTAATACCAAAGCACACAATTGGCTTTTTACTGCAGTGTTTTAAAATTGGGGGGGGGGGGACAGTGTTCTGCAGAGTGATGCATGGCCATGTGCCACCATCATCCCCAACAGTTCTCAGACCATAGGCATATTGCTTTCTTGATGTACACCTCCCAACTTCCCTCAGCCAGCTTGGCTATGCTGGTCTAAGTATTCCCCAAAATGATCTAAGGTTAAGCCTTCTGGATCAAGGAAGTGAACCATGCCATCCTCTCCTATATTTATAGATGGCTGGAACAGAAAAAGGGCCACTATAGGGTGATTTGGTCTACCCAGTCAATTCATGCTTCCCCCTTCCTGAGATGGAGACCCACCAAGGAGGAATGAGCAAACTCTTGCTGTCGTTGTATTTCCCCAAAAATCTTCCTTTCTTGTCAGAAGCACCATGCATTTGTAGTTGTTTGTAGGCATGCATAGTTATGCAGCTAGTGAGAGGAGAAATATGTTGCAAGCCAAACTTCTTCCTTGTGGAATTTGTCTAAGGATTCCCCAAAATAATCTAAGGTTAAGCCTTCTGGATCTAGGAAGTGAACCATGCCATCCTCTCCTATATTTATAGATGGCTGGAACAGAAAAAGGGCCACTATAGGGTGATTTGATCTGCCCAGTCAATTCATGCTTCCCCCTTCCTGAGATGGAGACCCACCAAGGAAAGGGCCACTGTGATTTGATCTGCCCAGTCAATTCATGCTTCCCCCTTCCTGAGATGGAGACCCACCAAGGAGGAATGAGCAAACTCTTGCTGTCGTTGTATTTCCCCAAAAATCTTCCTTTCTTGTCAGAAGCACCATGCATTTGTAGTTGTTTGTAGGCATGCATAGTTATGCAGCTAGTGAGAGGAGAAATATGTTGCAAGCCAAACTTCTTCCTTGTGGAATTTGATGCCCGCTTTTGATACTGCTAGACCATGTTTTTCAGTCATTCAAATCCAGCTGTCAATAAGGGAACATTTCCCTAGCCCTGCCATCTTGCTTAGACCTCCATAAACAATGCTTTCTTGTGTGAATCCGGGCCTAGGAGTGTTTATCTGAGAGGTCTGCTTCCTCCGCTAGTTAGGACAGAGCGCTTATTTGTTAGGGATGCTTAACTGGCAAGGCCAGCTACTCTTCACAAAGATAGTGCATGAAGACTCCACATGTTCTCCATCGTACACCTGTTGCTCTTGAAAAGTGAAGACTTTCCTCTTCAGGAAGCTTTCCCTCAGTGACTGACTGCCTGAGTGGGGCTGTTAAACAAATTATTGTGCCTTACTGCTTTGAATGTGTTTTTTGGTGTTGTTTTTATTTCACCTGTTGTAGTATGGTATTTGTTTGATCTTTTTGAGTATAGTATCTGTATACTTACTGTTTTTAGCTTTAAATATTGTCTTTTAATGATGCAAGTTGTCGAGTCCTAGGGATGCTTAACTGGCAAGGCCAACTACTCTTCACAAAGATACTACATGATGTTCTCCATCATACACCTGTTGCTCTTCAAAGGTGAAGACTTTCCTGTTCAGGAAGCTTTCTCTCAGTGACTGACTGCGTGAGTGGGGCTGTTAAACAAATTGTTGTGCCTTACTGCTTTGAATGCTGTTAAACAAATTATTGTGCCTTACTGCTTTGAATGTGTTTTTGGTGTTGTTTTTATTTCACCTGTTGTAGTATAGTATTTGTTTGATCTTTTTAAGTACAGTATCTGTATACTTACTGTTTTTAGCTTTAAACATTGTCTTTTAATGATGTAAGTTGTCGAGTCCTTTTAAGGTGAAAGGTAGCTAAAAATACTTTAAATAAACAAAATAAAATAATGTTTAAATGGATAAATTATGCAAGGTACGTAGTGCCATTCCTAATCAAAAAGTATAAAAGCTATGTTTTTACAGCTTTGTTCATGAGCTATGCTTTCTGCCCATAAAAATAAAGACCGAGATCTTTTTTTCAGCTCCCTCGTTTCATGCCTCCTCCCTTCCCCGTGAGAACGGAGCCGGAGTGTTTGCGTTTTCCTGCAACGTCCTCCTTTTCAAAGTATATTATTTTTTTCAGTGTCAAATACTACATTCTTCAAAAAGAGAACAGCAGAACTAAAATATCTGTGGCGATCGCGCTCCTTTCCTTATTATGGGAAGAAGCGGACAGTGCCTTTGAAAGCTGAAAGCCACCGAGTAAGACACTTTAAAATGTCGGAAGGCTCTAACATGGCTATTACGGGACGGTAAAAGAAGCTCGGGCCATTGGATTTATTCGGCCTACAACTCTCTCCAGCCCTAACCAGCACAGACAATAGTAATGGACCCAAGGAATGACTGTACAATCTCAACCAAAGCACCGACGGCAACTTCAAGGCGGAAATTGCAACGCCAACTCCCTTCCGCCCAAAGTGAGGCCGGAAACCCGACGCTTCGGTGAACCTTGACGAACGCCGAAAACGCGATTGACCCGGAAGTGCTCCGAACCTGGAGACGCCGCCGCCGTCGTCACAGAGCGCAAGCGGTTGCTGCGGGATCGAAAGCAACTGCCATGATGGCCGTGGAGAGCCCGTCCTATCCGAAGTCCTCTATCGAGGATGATTTCAACTACGGGACTAACGTGGCCTCGGCCAGCGTGCACATCCGCATGGGTAAAGAGTCCCCCGCCCCCTTGCCTCTCCCCCACCTCCCAGCCTTGTTTCTGTCCCGGGTTCTCGTTTCCTCTTCCAAGTCTTGCTTACGGTAGCTTCATATGTTTGCCTGTACACACGACCTTCTGATCGCCCAGTCTTTAGGCCTCATCTGTATGTTTTGTAAGCTTAAAGTGCGCATTTGGACATATCTACCCAAAAGGTAACCCCCCTTGAGTTCAGTAGGCTTCGGCCGCAAGTAACTGGGTATATGGAAGTGCAGCTTTAAAGGATGATTGTGGGTGTAGCAGTGGAAGGGACCTACCAGAGAGGAGACGCTGACATTTCTCTGATCCGTAGTGGCGGGGTGGGAGCATCAGAGGCCTATACAGTATTCTAAAAATCCTCGCCTCACCAGTTACAGGTAACCTGTGAGTCTGCCGAGAAAAACTTGGCAATAACATCTCCCCCTCCCCCAGCCCCGAAAACAAAAACAAAACTAGAAAGTCTTGAAAGTATCGTCTTAAACGTTTAATTCATGCAGTATGGTCTACTAAGAGGAAAGAAAACTAGCTAGTATTATTTTCCTCATAGAAATTAGGAGTAAAACTGAAATATGTTATGCCTGTTTTGGAAATCGGAGGTAAAGTATAAAGTAACCACCAGCATTGCTAGCTGTTAATGCTTTTATATTGCAGGAGGGCTGACTGAATATTTTATTTTGCAGAATTACAGCCACCAGGTGTTTGATAGCCAGTAGTTTATATCAGCTCTCATAAATTCACCAAAGGATGTTAGCCTACTGTTAAATACTGTTATTTAAATACAATGGTAAAAATCCTATTTGGATTTTTCAGGGTAATGTAAATCATGGCAGCAAACTGCAGATAACTAACAAAGTGCTGACTATGTGACAATCAGCACCTGAATTTTGCTACTATAATTGATACAACTTCACTTACTCCACAGTAAAATCCCAATAGGATTCATGCCAGTGCTATAGATCAAGTCTGTGCTGTGGAACTGTCATGTATTAGTTTGATGTAGCTAGATAGTATAGCAGTTGCGGAGACTTCTCACAGACTTAGAAGTGGAGATGGGAGGCAGGTGCAGAACATGCGAGTTGCAGGAAAGGGCATCATGTATAAAGAAGGTCTGTGGGGCTGCACAATTGATCGTGCTTGAAAGGTCACAGTCCCAAATTTCAGATGATTAGAGCAGACTTGAAAGGCTTCTCACCAGTGTGTGTGTGAGAGAGAGTGTTATGTGCCACTAGGTCAGTTTCAATTTACAGTGATTCTAGGATAGTTTCCAGGTGTGTGAATTATTTAAGGAGTAGTTTTATCATTGCCTGTCTAAGTGAGTTTCCATATCCAAGGGGGAATTTGAACCAGGTCTTCTGAGTCTGACACTCTATTATATGACTTTCATTAAACATCTTGCATGAGTCAGATTGGAAACTGAAAAACAGCAGAGCTAGCCCACTCCTGTGTCTTAAAAATGATATGAAACATATAAAGCAAGCAACTGAAGCCATTAATTAAATAAAAAGGTTAGGAAACACTGCATCTCCTTACTTTCTGGTCTGTAAGTCAAATCTCAGTCTGCAAGTCAAACCTAAATTTTGCGGCCAGAGAAGTCTGTAACTCAAAAAGTCTGTAAGTCAAGCCGTCTGTAAGTCAAGGGTCCACTGTATATGACTTTCATTAAACATCTTGCATCAGTCAGATTGGAAACTGAAAAACAGCAGAGCTAGCCCACTCCTGTGTCTTAAAAATGATATGAAACATATAAAGCAAGCAACTGAAGCCATTAATTAAATAAAAAGGTTAGGAAACACTGCATCTCCTTACCTTCTGTATTTCCAGATGCCACTAAAGTTACACAAGTAGAGATGGTAAAGGTGACAACAGCCCTGTGAGTTGTTCCTCCTGCACAAGGAGGCTTTCAGCCAATTACGAGATCAAGCCGCACTCTTTATACAGGTGTCCTGTGCAACATGTATATTCATAGTGAATGCAGAATTTCCAGATGCCATTAAAGTTACACTAGTAGAGATGGTAAAGGTGACAACAGCCCTGTGAGTTCCTCCTGCACAAGGAGGCTTTTAGCCAATTATGAGATCTAGCCACACTCTTTATACAGGTGTCCTTTGCAACATGTATATTCATAGTGAATGCAGAGGGGGATGGAGGTTGTTGGGAAAGTTATACAGTATTTGAAAAGAAAGTAACAGTTCAGTAGTCAGCCGTTTATGCCAGAGCATAAGACCCTTAAGGCAAATAAATCTGCACTTGCTGTTCTCCATTTAGGAAGCACTGCATTAATTGGGCAAGGAAATAGTAGTGACTTCACTTGTTCAGATAGCCTCCCTAATGTTTAACTTTGTTAATACATAACAAATGTGGTGTTCATCTCTGATTGCCTTTTGAGGATTGCATTTTCCATTTTTCATGTAAAGTATTAACATTTTTTGCCTTCAGGTACAACTCGCATTTTCCTTTCCTGCTTGCTTTTATGCTTCATTCAAACTATATGTTACTTTTTCTTTGTTAGGTAGTCTTTAAACCAAATTGAATAATAGTTAAATTAAGATATGTTTTGTTTCCCTTATTTTAGCTTTTCTGCGCAAAGTCTACATCATACTTTCAGTTCAAATTTTCTTGACGACGGTGACCTCTGCAGCTTTTCTGTACTCCAACACAATTCGGACATTTGTACATGAAAGGTAGAGTCTTATGGGGATTCCAGCTGTGTAATACTTTTTCCTGCTTTTCCATGTGCAGTGGATATTAATATAATGGCCTAAATCCAATGCAGTGAAATTTCCTTCCCCTTCCAGCTGTTCCCCCCATTGCCCAAACATCAGCTCTTGGGGGAGGAGCATTCTAGCCCTTTCCCTGAGCCAGTTTTGGGGAGATGAAGTGGGCAGGGCAGGTTGTCAGTAGAAGTCCAGTATTACTCCAGTACTACTCAGTGTCTGCTAATATGGTGTTATACCATTAATATATTAGTATGGCATTGGGTCCCCTTATTGGGAGAAAGGTGACCTATGAATAAAACAAATAATAAATTAGCCTATGGTGTTATCCAAGCAATTTTGCTTTTGAAGCATGGTTCTGTGTGTTTTAAGGAATAGAAGTCATGATCCTTATGAGTGGTGTGGAATCTATGGCCCTCCAGATGCAATAGACTTCAGCTCCTATAATTTCTATCCAGCATAGGCAACGATTAAGTATGAAAGGAATTGTAGTAGAGTAACATTTGGAGGATTGTAAGTTCTCCATCCCTTAGATGTGTGTAAAGCCCTCTGTCTAGTCACCATTAAACAGTGACGATAAATTAGTATTGTCAGTTTTACTTTTTGACTTGCCTGATTCTTACCTAGTCTGACTCCAATATGGAGAGTAACAGAATGCTTAGCTGTTTTGTTCCATGATGCTCATTGAGGCACAAGGGTAAGGTCTCGTCTTTATGTTCAGGCTATATATATTTAGGGAGGACTTCGATCTTTAGCTGTGCTATGTTAAACAGAGTAGAGGAAAAAGGAGATATTAATCACCTAAGTAATTCTGCTTAAGACTATTCATGTTCAGGTGAATGACCTCCCCTCACTACTATGTAGTAGAGAGAAAAAGTCCTACTGGTTTGGGTGGAAGGAACTGCTGCCACGCCCTGCCAGTTGTGAAACATGTACTGGTTTTGCTCCCAGTTAAAGTATGTCTTGGATTACACCCAACTTGCTTTGTTCCATACATGTCAGTGACTCCCGGAATTCCATGGCAAGAGTTTTATTTCCCTCGGCTGTGTCTCTGAATGGGACCAAACTCCATTCACCAATAGAGTTCATACAGATATATATTGCTACCATGAAACTTTATAGAAAAGTTTATAGAAAAGTTGAGAACTTATTGTATTTGAAATTCTGGTAACGCTATTCAATCAACTATTTAATTTTGAAGAAAGATGTTTTCACTATCTCCATTGTGGACTATGTTAGTATTTTAGATGTCCAAGAAATTCTTTGTAGACATCCTTTTTTGTATACATTCTGAAGATTGGGTCCTTTGGGGGAGAAAGGTGGGGTAGAAATAAATAATAGAGGATATTTTCCTCTAATGTTCGTTATGTTGTTTGTTAAATCTTACAGCCCAGTTTTACTTCTGGTATCTTTGCTTGGTTCTTTGGTTGTGATTGTGGCACTGACCCTGTACAGACATCAGCATCCGGTTAACTTGTATCTTCTTTTTGGATTTGTAAGTAATTCCCTAACATATTTAGTTTTTTAATGCTTTTGTGTTCCTAGATTATCTGGTCAAGTAGTTGTATATGCAATATTGTTGTGGATGCAGATTTTCTTCTTAAAGACTTTTATTCTTACTATCTTTGTTCTACAATACTCTTTTGTAATGTCACTGAAAAACATCATGGAATATTTGCTATGCCTTTTAAAAATGATGTACACCCAGCTTCCTTCTATGTACAGTGGTGCCTCGCACAACGAGTGCACCGTAGAGCGATGAATTCGCTCTACGAGGCCGGTTTTGCGATCGCAAATGCGATCGCACACCAATGCCTGCATAGGGCGAAAATCGCAGAGCGAAGGTCGGTAAGCGGTTCCCTTACCGACCTTCGCTTTGCGACCCGCCGATCAGCTGTTCGGCGGCTACAAAATGGCCGCTGGAAGCCCCAAAATGGCCACGCGCATCGTTTTCGCGCCCTCGTTGAGCGAGGGGAGGGCGCGAAAATGGCTGCCGGCCATTGCAAAACATCGCTGAATGGTGAGTAAATCAGCCAATTGGAATGCATTAAACGAAGTTTAATGCGTTCCAATGGGCTTTTCTGCCCCGTTCAGCAATGTTTTCACACAGCGAGGGTTAATCCGGAACGGATTAACCTCGCTGTGCGAGACACCACTGTACATGTATTCTTCGGACATTTGTCTCAAGATCAAAATACGTTGGCTTCCAGCACAAATTAGGCCAACATCTTATATTCAGAAAAAGGTAGTTTCTTGTCATACCAATGCAGTCATAAAAACTGTTGACTGAATTGCTTAGTGAGTAATGGTTGCTTTTCATTATTTTTCACAGACACTTTTAGAAGCATTGACTGTTGCTATTACAGGTATGTGTTCTTACCACTTCCAGTGTGACTCCATATGAGAGCCTCTGCTATTCTGCAACTGAGAGAAGGAAAGGGAGGGGCTGGCAGATTACCTCTACAGTAGTAGTGAGCTTTCAGAAGTGCTCCTAAGCAGTAAACTGTTTCTAAATAGAACTTCCCCATAATTTTTGCTCTGATGGCCAGTGCAGATTGGGATAACATCAGGGTGGATTTTATTTAAATCAGACTTATTTAAGTCACAATTTAAATTTAAAATATTGGGTTTTTAACTTTTTAAATAAAATTTGATATTTAAAATTTAAATGGTGATTTAAATCAATTTGATTTTTAAAAATCTGTGATTTCTATCCACCCTGGGTAGCATTAATTGCCTCCCATTGGTTTGGAAGGAGCAAATTCACCCTTTGAACCCCATGGTGGTTTCACACAGTGATTCTGTTTCCTGGGAGATTAGGAAGAGCTATATAATCAGGTTCTTGCCACTAGTGTATGCATGGGTGTCTTTATGAAAAGAAGCTATAAATGCCTATCCCTCTGATATTTTGGAAGGGAGCAAACTTTGGGAAGGGATCATAGTTTTGACCTTCACTTTGCAGAATAAAAAAAATTAAAAGGAAATATTTTGACTTCTATTACCATCTTCCAGCTAAAATGGACAAGGGCATTAGAAACGTGCAAGCATGGTTTGAGTGCTGCCCTATTCCATTTCAAAATATTACTAGAACAGAGGCTGGGATCCAGTTGTGTATTGTGTTTATGGAAAAACTCAGCCAACAGATCCAGAAGAAGGTGATTCATCTCCCCTTGCAGGCCTCCCCTCCCCCAGTCTGGAACACCAAAGTACACTCTGGAGGTGTTACCTACTCTCCTGGAGAGAATATTGAGAGCATGCGTGGGAAGAAGCATTACCTCCTTCTGAATTGGCTGATGGAGCATCTTCCATCACTGATGCATAGCACTGGAGACTGGCCATACCAGGGGTGGGCAATTAATTTCTATACGGGGGGGGCACATGAAAAATCTGAACTGTGTTTGGGGGCTGAACCAACTTTACTTAAAAATAAAATGAAACAGTGATGTTATGATTGTTTTTATTTTAAACTTGTTAATCTTCACAAATACTAAAGGGTTTTTTGTGGTATGTTAAAGATAAGCAACTGATCAACTTTAGACAAAAAGCAATAAATGGTTTTGATGTTCAAAACTGTCCACGGGCCGGACAGGAGCGGCTCACGGCCTGTATGTGGCCCTTGGGCCGCAATTTGCCCAGGTCTGGTGTATACTAAGGACAATAATGTTTGCACCTTACTCTTCCACTGCAACCCCTAGACATATACATACAGTAGTTATTTTTGGTTTAGCTATGTATTGGCTTTAACAAATGTGTACATAGTTGTTAATATAAACCAAATGCAGTTAATAAAATAATGGATTTAATATTAAAAATATGAGCAGGATAAACTAAAATAAGACTATCACATGTTCAGTATATGATTTTAAAATTCTTTTCTTTGTTTCTTTGTTTTCTCTAGTGACTTTCTATGAAGTATCAGTTGTCCTACAAGCCTTTATTCTCACTACTGCTGTGTTTTTGGCTCTCACAACATATACTTTGCAGTCCAAAAGGGATTTCAGCAAAACTGGAGCAGGGTACGTTACTTTCCAATGTCCTTATTAAGTACCTCATTCTTATACAGTATGTCCAGTATGATTGGACTTACAAAAATAACTTATAAAAAATTAGAATTTTGGGATACTTTCAGAGGTTAACTGATCACAGTCATGCTGGAATGACATACAGTATTGGTGACTTCTATCAAGATATGCCCTTTGAAAAACCTACGTAGCTACACTTATGAAGTGTGCACTGGGTTGAGTTCATACTAGAAAAATTAAAGGAATTGGATTAGAAACTAATGAGAGCTGTTAGTAGAAGATGTGTCAAAATAGGATTGCATATATTAAAATACTACATTCTTTTTGGTCTAAAATGAAAACACTGTTTTAAAATTAAATCTGTTATTGTGCATTCACAGGTTGTTTGCTTGTTTGTGGATTCTTTTCCTTGCAAGCTTTTTAAACGTAAGTTTTCAAGAGTATGGCTAAGAATAGAAAATATACTGGAGAAAATACTGGAGAATTAGAATTAGATATAATTTAAAAATAAAATATTTATGAATAGCAGCTAAACTAGAATGCTGGAATGCTTGAAATGGTATTTGTCCTCTAAATTTGTTTTCTTTGTTGTTGTCAAATATTTGATGGTGAGAAACAGACTAAGTCAAAATATTAGTAAATATAAGCAATTTTAACATGGAGTATTCCTCAGTGAAAGCTGAGGAAGCTGAAAGTAGTTTATCACATAGCAGAAAATATAATATGCAGTTACCATATAGCAGAAAAGATAACTGAATTGTTGCTGTTACTGTGCCTTTCTGTGTGTTTGGACCTTATGCCAAACCATTTTCAAATCAAAGATTTTTAGTTTAATTTGTCAATTGAGCCATCACATTAACTTCATTTGAGCCTTCGTAAAGAATTTTGGCATGAAGAAGGGAGAAACTGTATCATTATTTTACTTGAACTGATGGATAGCTCAGTGGTTTAGGTCTCTGGCTGCAGAGGTAGAGGTGCCTCTTTGACAGGGGCTGGACTTGATGATCCATGCAGTCCTTTCTGGTTCTGAAGTTCTAACATGATGATGATGATGATAAGATCTGTCAACCACATTCTGTTGATTCCAGAAATCTCCAGAGGTATCATGTTATAGTGCCCCCAACCAAAGGCTGTAATCTGTTCCCATGGATTTCAGCTAATGGGACATAAGTGCTACTGGAGACTGTGGTTCTTAGATCTGAATAAAAACACGTGGCATTGTATTGTAAGTTGCAGAAGTGCTTTCCTTTGCTTCCAGTACTTAAATTTTGAAGCCACAGTTTGAGTCTGAAATAGGGGGGGGGGGACACAATTCTAGTGTTTTATCAGATGTACTGTATGTCACACTGCGTATGTTAATAACGTTCAAAAGGATGTGAGGGTTGTCATCTTGTCAGAAGTAAAGGTAACATGAAATATGTTTGTGAATAAAGTATTGAGTGCTGAGTCTTTAAACGTAAAAAAGGATGTTTTTCCTGATGATTCTCAGCGAGATTTAAGAGTTTCTGAAGAAAAACACAGGTGGTAAAGAATGCACTTCAAAATGCTTTGTGGATTTTTATGCTTTTGAAGAACAGCAAAGGCAAAATGCTAAGTATTTTCTTTGAAGTAGTTGGTGCTTAAAAACCATTTAGGACAGCCTTATCTGCAATGTGTTTAAACTAGTCATAAGACTCACATCAGCAGTATTGCAGTTTCATCACAGCTGGGAGATGAAAATGTAGTCCTTTATTTTAAAAGTGTTGTCGCTTTAGAAAATAGTAGGCCTACTGTAGTGGCAGTAATGTAGGTGGATGTGATAGGGTTGTCTCTTGATAGAAATGGGGAAAGTTCTGAAGTCTTGAATCCATGCATTAGAGATGGGCGTTTACCGGAGATCAGCATTTTGGCAGATCAGGCCCATGGGTGTTGCGTGGGAGCCCCTGGATTCTGTGCCTTAGACTTCAGCACCATGAGACTTCCCTGCTCCACCTTCTCCTCTGATTAGGCATTCACAGGAGGAGGCAGGGCACCAAATGTAGAGCACCATACAACACTGTGGACCTGATCCCAAACTGCGGTAAGTGCCCATCTCTACTATGCACACAATCCAGGAAGAAATATTGTATGTTTTTACCTAAACAAGCAATATGTATAATTATAGTGTCATTGTTATGTTAGATTTTGATGTGCAGTTATGAAATGAATGTGCACTAAATCTTTTTGTGTTCTCTGCTTACAGCTTTTTTTCCATAGTGAAGTAATAGAACTGGTATTTGCTGCTGCAGGAGCCCTTCTGTTCTGTGGCTTTATAATCTATGACACACACCTGCTCATGCACAAACTTTCCCCTGAAGAATACATACTGGCTGCAATTAACTTATACTTGGACATCATCAATCTGTTTCTCCACCTGCTTCGCTTGCTTGAAGCATTTAATAAAAAGTAACTAGGAGTTGTTGTTCAGTCTTCTCAAATGATTAGGATGTGGCATACAAAGAGTTAATTAAAGACCTAGAAAATCTGCAGTGTGCTTTGAGACTGAAGCTTCTTTTCTACATTCCATGGTGGTTTCAGTGTTTTCTGTACAAAGAGTGCTTTAGAGAGCTGATGCTTATGAATCTATTCTGAGATCGGCTAATTACATATTGCAGTCATCTTGACTGTTTGGTAAAGGCTTCATTCCTTTCATTCGCATATTATTATTGATGGGAAGACTTGCTCATCAACATTCAATTGTGCCAATAAGCACTATTAAATCCTATTTATTTATCCAGTAATTGCCACAGATGTGTCCTTTGAGATTCACACTTGTCACTGGCTGGATAGCATAAAATTAAATTTCTTTAATTCAATGCTGAAGTTTTAACTAACTTAAAATCTGCTTGTTGGTGGTCATTTGTATAAATCTTCTGGTACAAGCAATTTGATTTCGGAGAAATATCCTGCGGTATCACTTTACTCCACCCCGATACTCTTTATTAAATAATATTAGAATATTTAAAGTCCAAACATTGCTATATTTTTTAAAATATACAACCTCCATGTGTTTTCATAGAGGGCCTGGGATAGCTTTGGTCTGAAAATGGATACAAGTGAAAATATAAATGAATGTATGGCAGTATTTCCTTTCATCTGGAAGGCCTGCACCAGAAGACTGCTTTGGGTCCTTTGTTGAAGGCTTGAGAATTTTAAGAAGCTCAAAATATAGATCTGCTGTAGAGCTTCTTGGTTTCTGTTGAACTGCTGGAGACGTTTGAAGTACACTTTGACCCCTCTACTTTTTCTTTGGTCGCTAGCACAGAGTACAGATATTTTAGTGCAGTTCAGTATTTGTTGGTTGGCATTTGTTTGGTCTTGTAGTGTGAAGAGCTGGCAGAGCAACAGAGGCAATTACACTCCATCTGCTCTTCTATTAGGGTGATGTTAAGAACTTATGAAAATAAATTTTATGAAATGCTAGTCATACAAGTCATTTGTCTCTTTATTTACTTTGTGTCCACTGTTGCAAGACTGTAAATGAATAGTTTCTAGATCATTAACCAAGTATGAGCAGAAAATTTGATAGTTCACATAAGCATATAAGCTTGTACCACATAGGTAACTCAAAATCTTTACACATTTAATATAATATCTTTTAATTTTTAAAAGATTCCATACTGCATTTAAAAAAATTAGTGCCAATGCTAAACTAAGCCCTGCTAGTTCGTAGTTTAAGTTACATCCTCAGAGTTCATGATCTAAGTAAGGTGCCCTATTTCTGCTTCACTTACAGCTAAATGGACAGGAGGGTTGTTGTTTTTTGTTATAGTATATCAGGATATTGTGGCCCATAATAGAAAATTTACTCCTTGTACATGAACCAGAATGTTCTATTAGGCATTCATTTCATAACAGGTGTGCAGCCACAAGGTCGGCACATGTAGCTGATGCAATCCTTGAAATGTGTATTGGGCGTGATGTAATGTCTAGGAGAAGACATCAGGTGATGTGTCAGTGGTTGGTTGTTCACAGTGCTGCACATTATACTGGAATATGGAGCTTTGCATGGAGAGTTGCTGCATAGTGTCCGTTTATTTTGCTTATGTGTATTGTTTACTCCACTGACTAATGTACATAGTCCTGCTGTACATATTTTGTAAATACACTGCTGGTGAAGGAATCTACTGTCTCTGCAAGTCTCTTTGCTGATGACCTGGAGGACTGACTTGTCTCGGACCCATCTCCACGCCCAGACTCCTGACACAGTAATTATTGGTATATTTTCCAAGAATCAGAAAAAAAGTGCAAGCCTGTTTTTAAATAACCCAGAAAGTTTCTCACATTTTTTTAGAAATCCTGTCTTTTCTTACAAATTGTTACAAGCATCACTGTTGCAAGCATTCCTATCCAAACATGTTACACAGATCTGCACATCCCAATAATATATGTTCAGTACACGTAATAGGCTGAGTTATATTTTGTTGGCAACTGTGAATAAGAACGGCTCATGGAATTAAGGAGTCGAGGAAAACCAAGGCTTTTTAGTTTCACTTCTTACCAAAGACTAGTTATGACCCAGCAGCTCTCAGCCATGTGGTATACTACAGATGCTTTAGACTACAGTTTCCATCACGTCTTGGTTGAGACTGATGGGTCTTGTATGCCACTGAATGTTGGTAGTGGCATAGCAACCACTTAAGCTGAATAATTTGATCCTGCAATAAAATCAAAAGCCAGCTCCCTTCATTCTGTCGTGGGCCTGAAAGTCAATGTTCTCCAGCAAAAGAAGTCAGAGGCTGGTGGGGGGCTTCACTGTGAAATGGCAAAGCTTGAAAATATCAGTAAATTTGATTTTGTTCATTTAGGACTCTGATAAACAGGTTTTTTTCTCTTACTGCTAGTGGTAAAAGTAATAAACATTGCAATGTAATTATTACTTAACACTGCGGCTGTGAGAGATCGCAAGGCTTGCATACCTGTGTGTAGAAGTGTCACATCTGGCTCTTGCCTCTTGTGTTCTAGGTCCATTGTTTTCATGGACACACAAATATATAGACACTGTTTTCAGTTTTGATGTTGAGCTTCAGGCCATTTTTTGCACTCTTCTTTTTTGCCCTCATTAAGAGGTTCTTAAATTCCTCCTCACTTTCTGCCATCAGCCTTGTATCATCTGCCCCCCTGAGGTTACTGATATTTCTTCCGGCAATCTTAATTCCGGTTTGGGATTCCTCCAGTCCAGCCTTTTGCATGATGCATTCTGCATATAAGTTAAATAAGCAGGGAGACAATATACAGCCTTTCCCAATTTTGAACCAATCAGTTGTTCCATATCTAGTTCTAACTGTTGCTTCCTATCCCACATATATATTTGTCAGGAGGTAGATAAGGTGGTCAGGCACTCCCATTTCTTTTAGGACTTGCCATAATTTGCTGTGGTCCACAGTCAAAGGCTTTTACGTAGTCAATGAAGCAGAAGTAGATGTTTTCCTGGAACTCTCTGGTTTTCCCCATAATCCAGTGCATGTTAGCAATGCATGAAGGGGGCTATCAATAACAACACTACTCAAATCTTTCTACTCAAGGATGTGGTCCCCTTTATTGTCTCAATCCATCTCATATTTGAACTTCCTCTATTTCTGCTGCCTTTAATTTTTCCCAGCATTATTTTCACTATACAGTATGTTTGAATTGGGATCCAGACCATATAATAAATAGTCTCTATAGATCATAATATGAAAGTGTGTGCCGTAATGTTGGTCTTTTAAGGTGTCACTAGGTGTATTTGAAAACTACTGATCGGTACATTCTATGAGTAAGTATGAGAGGATATAGTGACTACCACATTCATCCCAGAGTGCAGGACATGTAACAATGGGCTCAAGTTACAGGAAGCCAGACTTCAGCTGAATATCAGGGGGGAAAGTCCTGTTAGAGCAGTTGGGCAGTGGAACCAGGTGGTGAATGCTGTCATTCAAGAGAAAAGTAGACAAGCACCTGTCAGCTATACTTGGCTGCCTCCATTGAGTCGGAGGTTGGACTCAATGGCCTTATGGGTCCTTTGCCAACTATATACATCTGTGGTGATCACCACTCCTGTCTTTGGGAACTTTTGTGCTTTTTCCTCAGGAACACACCTATTTCTTGCAGACTTGCTGGTCCTGCAGTGCTTTATATAAACCCCATTCCGTAGCTCTTAAAGGCCCCCACTGAAACTTACATACAGTACTCATCAAAACTCAGGCACTCATTCTTAAATTTAGATTAAATTACATTCTTAAATTCTATTTATAAATGTTGGGTACAATCAGAAAGAAATTTAAAGTTATCAGACTGGGTGCATGATATCCACAATTCATCCCACTCCACAGCTCTTTACAGCTACCTGCGGCAACAACATTCCGCCCAGCATTTCATTACAATTGATCGCCGGCAGAAGACCACACTCGTGTAGTACCGGAGGAACTCAACAGGGGGCTCAACCGAGGAGCAGGTTAACTAGTCCGTCGGAAGTGGCGACTCTATGGCCGGTGTCGCACATGCTTGGTGGGTGGCCGAGCAACTTCTGCGCATCCCGGAAGAAGGACTCTTGCCCACGTGTTTTTAGGGTCAGCTGGTGCACCGGGATCGGAGGAGTCCAGAGAGAAAAAGAGTCGTGTGCGCCCAGGTAGCGTGACGGGCATGGAGGTCGGGGTAAAGAGGGAGGGTTCTTTATTTTCCGCTGCGTGTGCTCTCTTCTCCGTCTTCTGTTCTTTGGTCGAGGTGGAAGATGGCCGAAACTTTTCTGCCTCTATACCTTGAAAATCGTTTGCTTCATTTACACAGTCAAATCATAAAGTGCATATTAACAGCTGTGCTGCCTCAGACCAAAAGCATGTTTCAGAGAGCATGTTTCGACAATAAAATTGTCGCTGCTGCAGCTATTATTATTGTTATTTGGTACTTCAGAGCTCCGGGGATCCGCTAGCCAGCCACCATAATTATGTCCTTGGGAATTTTGGGAACTGTCGTTCCAAGAGGTAACTTTTCCAAGCATTGGTGTTCCTCGTCCTCATTCTCTACGGTGTTCCTCTCCCGTATGCTCATGGGAGCCATCCACGTGTTTGTATGTCGTCCAGAAATGTAGAGTTATGCTAAGTCCACTCAACACAAGGTTGGGGAATGTGTGACCCCCCCCCCCCCATGTTCCTTTCAGTTACAGCTCCCACCATCCCTTAGGGTTGTCTAAGGGCTGGTCGCAGTTGCAGTTTGATGAAATCTTCAGAACCAGACATACTGCGTTCCTCCCCTTGGCGGATACATGGGTCAAACAACACTTGTTTTTTGAATAAGAAAGCTAAGTGGAATATGGATTCGGTTACCCACTCCTCTGCCCCCAGAAAAATGATCAGCACTCTGAATGCCAGTGTTTTTTGGTGCTGATGCTGCAGTTAAGCAATAGGGGGCCATTAAACAGGAGGTAAGGTTCCCCTTGACATTTAGTCCAGTCATGTCCAACTCTAGGGTGTGGTGCTCATCCCCATCTCCAAGCTGTAGAGCCAGCCTTTGGCCATAGACAGTTTCCTTGGTCACGTGGCCAGTGCGACTAGACACGGAACGCCATTACCTTCCCACCGTGGTGGTACCTATTTATCTACTTGCATTTTTACATGCTTTCGAAGTGCTAGGTTGGCGAAGGGGAGCTCATTCTGTTTCATGGATTCAGTCTTATAACAGGAGGAGGAAGTCTTAAATGACCCAAATGACAGGAGGAGGAAGTCTTAAATGACCCAAAATTGCCATAGCTGATAATGTCGTCCCATCACCTTTATGAACCAAAGCTTTCTCTTGCATTAGTGGAAGGTCCATATAGCTCAGCACCTTGCTTCTCACACTGTCCAGATTTGGCGAGCCCATAAGCAGCACGTAAGCAACAGGTCTCTGCTCTCCCTTACTCCAAACTAGCATTCTATGGCATGCTGACTGGAACTTATCTTCCATGATTTTGTTTAACCTCGTTCTAAAACCATCAAGCACAGTAAAACTGGAATTCACTATCACATATTAAAGCTGTCCAGTTTATCAGCAGTTACTATAATTTGTGGCAATGAATTCCCATTTAACTGTCTTCTGTAATTTCTCCTTTCTGTCACCACCGGGAAGCAATAGGGGACCACATAATGGGAGGAGAAAATCTTTTAAGTACAAAAACCCACCAGTGCTAGTGAAGTCATCCTGGCAGTGGTCATTATCTTATAATTAAATGCTTAATTTCCTGTCATGCAGCTCCCTGTGGCTGCCCAAAGTTTAATGCTTTGGGCCCTTCAGGAGAGCAAACTTTTATACATTATCCAAAAAATTGCAGCAGCCAATGACTAACATGATGTAACTGACACAACACAATCTCAGCCTAAAACACCTCTCCCCCCCCCGTGTTGTGACAAGAGCTGTACATATGCACCCCAGAGAATGTGTTCTCAGTGTATGTTTTAAATTTTTGAAAGAAAACTTGTAAGGTGTTTTCAGTCCATAGCAATGTGGGCACAAAAAAAGATTACCACATTTATTAATTGCATGTACAGTTTTCATAGGAAATCAATGTGCAGTCAGGTGCACATTATACTATTTGGCTAAAACTGTGGTATAGCAGGTAGCTATGTTAATCTGTTACAACAATTCATACCTGTAATAGTCCTGTGGCACTTATAAGATTAACTAGTTCTTATTTTTCATAATGACTACAGGAGTAGTTTTGTTGTGAACGAAACTGAATTATTTCCATTATGAAAATTCATAATGAAAAATAAATACTAGTCTTATGGGTGCTGCAAGACTATTTCTGGTATAAATAGTATTAGGCTAACTGAGTATCTGTTCTGATGGCTAGTCAGAGATAAGAGGACATGGCGGCATTTTACTAGGACGTATCATTTTATTTGTACTTGGTGACAAAAAAAATAATGTGTGCATTAATAAGTAGGTCAGGGTGGAGAGCCTCCAAGACGAAAATCCTGCAAAGAAGTTCCATTTGCACAGTAGCAGTTACTCAACTGTGTCTCCCTTCTGACTTACCGTCTGTCACAGCAGCAAGCAAGTGATTCCCCCCCCCCCCCCG